AACCCTCCCCGGGGAAGGCCACACTTTGAGTAGCAAGAGGCTAGAGATCAAAAGAGAGCATGCCATTACCAGACAGTCTCTGGTAGGAGGTGGCAGTCACGGTGTCAAGTTGAGGCTAAGCTGAAAGCTGTGTGGATTAGATTCAACACCTTGGCTAGGTGTTGGAGTGGGGTTTGTGAGCACTGGTGGAGACTCCTAGCTTAGTTATAATTAGCATAGCTTTTTAGCCCAGGAGTTGCAGCTCAAGTTTTGGAGGAACTAAATCTATACAATTTAACCGATGTAAGCAGCATATCATTCTTGATATGAAGATTAAAACTTTCTGCCTTCTGCTCTGCTATTTAAGCAATCATTTTGCTTTGACTAGAAAAGGACTCATGGCAAGATGGGATGCCTCCCAGGAGAGGCAGGTTCTGGAGGTAATATGAATTTAGTAAAAGGTCAGGTTTCCTGAGGAGCCCTCATAATTTTTAATGACCTCTTTTGCTGTTTTTAATGATATATCTAAGATCCAAATCTGCCTATGCATTGCCCTGTTTAAACCTTTTGGTCGCTCCTTACTGGGTTTGACCAAAGCTGTTTCCTAGGCTCATAAGGCCTTTGGTGATCTGGCCTTTACTACTGCTTACCTCTTTAGCCTCACTTCTTCAGCTCTCCCCCATATTCCATTCAAGTCTAGCAACAGTGAACTATTTTTGATTTCTCAAATCAGGTGGGCTTTCCTTTGCCTCTAATTGGTTAAAGTTTGAAAAAAATCCTGACCTTAATTTGTAGGCATACATAGCTCAAGAAAGGCCTTTCTTTAAAAATTCAGAATTGTAATTACTATCTGCAATAGTGAAATAATATAATGAATATTTTATAAACTATTTTTATTTTTTTAAAAATATATTTTATTGATTTTTTACAGAGGGGAAGGGAGAGGGATAGACAGTCAGAAACATCAATGAGAGAGAAACATCGACCAGCTGCCTCCTGCACACCCCGCACTGGGCATGTGCCCACAACCAAGGTACACGCCCCTGACCAGAATCGAACCTGGGACCCCTCAGTCCACAGGCCGATGCTCTATCCACTGAGCCAAACCGGTTAGGGCTATAAACTATTTTTAATGCTTATTTGGTATGTTATAACTCATAGCCATTTTAAAATATACCTATGTTTGACAAAGCTGACATTAATATAGACTGCATAATCTAAGACAAATCTAAAGTAATACTTTAAAACTCCAAGTTGAAAGTTTGAAGTAGTTAAGATGGTTACCTTTTAGTTTTTGTAGTACCATGTGGCTTGTCTTCTCTGCTCTGTGATACTGTCATAGATGTGGATGTAGGAGTAATAGCCTCTTTGGATTCCAACTGGAAATCAAATGTGAGGGGTCTAACACAAGTCTTCCTCTTTACGTAACCCTGAACACTGTTTTTCTGCAACAAAGACAAAGTTTCAACACTGTGAAAAAAAGAGTGCTTTTCACATAGGGAAAATCCTGTGTGGAAAGGACAAAATTAACCTCACTGTACACACACACACACACACACACACACACACACACACACACACACAATTTACGTGTAGTCAATAATGGAAAAATAATACAGATTGAAAATTGGGGGCCTTGTACACCAATTTTTTTATTGCTGTGTGATCTGAGCTGCTCTTTGCCTATATATGAAATAAGGGTGTTGGACTAGATCAGTGGTTCTCAACCTTCCTAATGCCGCGACCCTTTAATACAGTTCCTAATGTTGTGGTGACCCCCAACCATAAAATTATTTTCGTTGCTACTTCATAACTGTAATTTTGCTACTGTCATGAATTGTAATGTAAATATCTGATTTGCAGGATGTATTTTCATTGTTACAAATTGAACATAATTAAAGCATAGTGATTAATCACAAAAACAATATGTAATTATATATGTTTTCCGATGGTCTTAGGCGATCCCTGTGAAAGGGTCGTTCAACCCCCAAAGGGGTCGCAACCCACAGGTTGAGAACCGCTGGACTAGATAATAGTGAAGGCTCCCTCCTAATTCCCCAATTCAGAAATTAGGAACAAACTATATCTTTAGGAAAGTCAATATTGATATGTAGAGTTATTGGAACCATAGCAGGTTGGTTTCTCCAACCTGTTCTCTTCCTGTCATGACACATGTGATGAATCACATGATTTGTCTAGTAGCATGAGCCAGTACTAGAGTTAGAAAGCAATCAAAGGAGAACTTTGTTCAAATATTTATATAGATGGACTGAAGAGGAATAAGGAGTGCTAAAAAGTGAGTTAAGGAGCCAAAAATCTTCTATAAAAAATTCTCTCAAAGAACAGCACAGAGGAACAAAGAGATAAAAAAAAAATTTAAAGCAAATCAAAGGATATGAGAACTTTTGCTTCTGCCAATGAAGTTAGATTAAGCACTATGGGAATTGCCTTTCTGCTTCAAACTACTAGAAAACAAGACAAAATATAGGAAGACAACTGTAAGCAGGCATTAGAAAACAAGCAGAGCCACAATCCCTGAAAAAAAGGGAAACAAATGAGGTAAACCGTACTATAGCCCAGCTTCATCTTGGAGGCAGTTTCCAGGCTGAGGCACTGGGAGGGGGAACTCAAACCAAACCTTGTGGCCTTGACCTTGTTGAGTTTAAGAGACAGATTTCACCAGCAATCACTCTTGGGCATTCACTCCAAAGAAATTTGTTTATTTAAAAACCTGTAAAAAATATTCATAGCAGCTTTATTTTATCTTATTTTTTAGCAGCTTTATTTTTAAAAGCAAAATACCTGCACACTATCCATATGTCCTTCAATGGGTGAGTAACTGAAACTCTGTATATTCATATAATGGAATGCTACTTGGCAATAAAATGTATAAATTATTTATAATAATAAAGCTATTGATTTGTATAAGATCTTAGATGGACCTCAAGGGCATTATGCTTAATTTAAAAAATCAATGTCAACATTTTACATACTGCCTGGCTGACAAAGCTCAGTGATTGAGCATCGATCTATGAACCAGGAGGTCATGGTTCAATTCCCAGTGAGGGCATGTGCCCCGGGTTATGGGCCCCATCCCCAGTGTAGGCGTGTGCAGGAGGCAGCCAATCAATGATTCTCTCTCATCATTGATGTTTCTATATCTCTCTCCCTCTACCTTCCTCTCTGAAACCAATAAAAATATATTTTTTAAAAGTTTACATACTGAATGATTATACTAGAGGCCTAGTGCACAAAATTTGTGCACAGGAGGGGGGTGTCCCTCAGCCTGACCTGCACCCTCTCCAATCCAGGAGCCTTCAGGGGATGTCCTACTGACGCAATCTGGCCTCTCTCTGCAGGAGGTGACAGGGCTGATCAGGGGAAGGCACCGCCCCCATCCCCCCGCTGCTGCTGCCACTGCCAGCCGCCACAGCCACCAAGGTGTTTTCATTGACATGAACTCCAGTCCCTTCACCACAAAAAAATGACAACTTTCTTTAGGCATTTTCAAGATGTCTCTTTCATAAGATATGATCTTCCTTCCTTCCTTCCTTCCTTCCTTCCTTCCTTCCTTTCTCCCTTTCTTCCTTTCTCTCCTCACCTGAGGATATTTTTCCATTGATTTTTAGAAAGCGTGGAGGGGAGAGGGAAAGACAGAGAGAAACATCAATGTGAGAGGGACACTTCGATTGGTTGCCTCCTGCATCAGCCCTGGCCTGGGCCCTGGCCAGGGAGGAGTCTGCAACCTAGGTACATGCCCTTGACCAGAATCGAACCCAGACCCTGCGGTCAGCAGACCAAGGCTCTACCCACTGAGTCAAACTGGCTAGAGCAGGATATGACATTTCTCAGCCCCTCCAGCAGTGGATCTTTGTTTTTTCCTCCAGGAGTGAGGTGGAAAAACCCTAGATCACCTTCTTGGATTCTT